TATGCACATAAATATAATAACATGCATATGTTAGTATCATAGTCAATTCATAACATGGTATTGCTTAAGTACATGAAATACAATTTCAAAGATTCCTTGATTGAGGTTTAAAAAAAACAACAAAAAAAACATCAATGATAATGTTGTTTAGCATATTGATAAAATAAGTAAGCAAGATTCATTATTGGCGTGTGCTAATTAAAATAAAATGTTAAAGGAGATTGCAACATTCATATTGCACGGCAATGAACAAGAGCGTTCCAGACTCAGTGTGATAAATTGCTTTTGAATACGTTCAGATTGGGGGAGAACCTGGTTTCTATGGGTAAATTATTCCAGAGTGTTATTGCAGAGTTTACAAAGGAGCGCTTAAAAAATTCTGTATTGCACCTATTGGATTCCAGCTTAAGTTGGTGGGAATTACGTGTCATGCGTTGTGCTACATCATCATGTAAAATAAATTTGTTTGCCAATAAGGCAGGTGCAAGATGGTGAACACATTTAAATGCCATAATCCCCATTGCTCTTGAATACAATGCCTCAAGTGTTGACCAATTAAGTTGTAATAAAACCTCGTGTGAAGGAGTTGACCACGAACATCCAGATATAATATATGCTGCTCGTTTATGTAATTTATTTATAGTTTCATAATTATGCAGGGATCTATTTGTCCACACAGTGCAGCAGTACATAGCATGAGGTAGAATATAGCCCCAGTATATCATACTCAGATAATGTTTATTGAACGTGCCTTTGAGTCTTCTTAGAATACCTAATTTCTGTTTCATTTGTAAAGCTACTTTTTCGACATGCTTCGAAAATAAGAGATTGCTGTCTACTATAACACCGAGGCATTTGTACTGTGTCACACATTCAATCGGTGTTGTCTTTATACGCACATTTAAATTATTTTCGTTTAGCGTCTGTAACTTTTGCTTCGACCCAATAACCATTACCTTTGTTTTAGTAGTATTCAATAGAAGTTTATTTTTTTGCGTCCACGAATACACTTCATCTAAAGCAAGATTTAGTTTCGTTTGGATCTCAGATAATGTTTTGCCTTGTACCGACATGGTCGCGTCATCTGCAAATAAAAACATGGCCGCACTATGAATACTAGTGGGCAAGTCATTAATAAATATCAAGAATAACAATGGCGCTAAGACAGAACCTTGGGGTACACCGTAATTAATTGTTCTCGTTGATGACTTTTTACCTTTAATAGACACAAACTGGCTCCTGCCTCCTAGATAGGACCGAAACCATTTTATGGCTCTATCCGTGCAACCAACGTTTTTTAACTTCATTAATAGAGTTGAGTGATTCACTGCATCGAATGCCTTCCTCATATCAATATACGCAACACCGTTTAAGTTGCCTTTGTCCACGTTTTGGGCCCATACATCTACCATACAAAGCAGGGCAGTTTCGCATGAATGGTTGGGGCGGAAGCCAAACTGCCTTTCTGTTAATATCTTATTTACTTTTAAATATTCTTGAAATTCCGTGTTCACAGCTTTTTCCAGTATTTTGGATGGTATGGACAATAACGAAACTGGTCTATAATTTTCAACGCTGAGTTTACTTCCAGCTTTATAAATAGGTTGGACTCGTGCGATCTTCCATTCATCAAAAAAAATTCCCTGATCCAAAGATGAATTAAGTATATAAGTAAGGCTTTGTATTACATTTTGAGAATTGCATGCAAATTTTAGTAATTTTATTGAAACATCGTCTGGGCCGGTGGCTTTTTTAATTGGGATACGTTCGATTTCCTTCATAACAAATTCATCTGTTGTAACTGGGAGATCAAACGAATTGACTGGAGGAACGGTATCAACAGTATCGCTGTGCACAGATGGTTCACTAGCTCTATCAATGGTGGAGTTGTTAACATCATTTTCAAAGTTAAGAGGATTAAACATAGTATCAACTGCGTCCACAAAGTAATTGTTAAAGTGATTGGCTATCTTCTCGGCATCAATTACTTCTTCACCATCTACTTCCAGTTTAAGGTTACTCTCTTTTTTAGATGATGATATGAGTTTCAAAGTTTTCCACATGGCGTTAGGAGTTCCGCCGTTCTCATGGAGTAGAGCATTTATATAATCATTTGTTACTATTGAGAAAATTATGTATGTACGGGTTGGATGAACCATCACATGGTTTTCGAACTATTTACATGATCGAGTACAATCTACATCTGTTAACGATATAATGTCAGATTTTTTGCCAATTGAATGTGGAATTCCCCAAGGATCCATTTTAGGACCCCTGCTCTTCATATTACATGTTAATGATTTGCCACGTGGCCTCACCCACTGTAAAGTAAGCATGTATGCTGATGATACGTTAATATATTGTTCGGCAAATGATACTATAGAATTGAGTGAGAAGATAAATGAAGACCTAGAATATGTTATAAAGTGGTTGATACAAAACAAACTAAATTTGAATATAAAGAAAACTGAATACATTGTATTCGGTACGAAACAACGTCTGGATAAAGTTAAAGATAATGATTTAAACATTACTATAGACAATACTGTGTTAACTCGAGTTAGTAAGTGTAGACACCTTGGGGTAATTTTAGATGAAAGGTTATCATGGCAAGAACATATTAATACTATTCATAAAAAAGCAAGTAACGGATTATATATGCTGAAATCTATAAGAAATATAGTCAATTAATATGAAATGAAATTGGTTAATAATTCACTAGTATTGTCTCACTTAAATTATTGTGATGTATATGGGGTGGATGTGGAAGTACACAGAAAAACAAATTACACAAAATTCAGAATAGAGCAGCACGAATAATTAATAGGTCCTCTTGGTATTCCTCATCAGATGAAAATTTAACAAGACTAAATTGGAATACACTTGACAATAATAGAACAAAGAATGTAGCAATTATGATGTATAAGATTGTCTCAAAACAAGCTCCTGAGTATTTAGTAGAAAGGTTTATATTTGCTGACCATACATACAACACACGTTCAAGTCTGTATAATGTGAAAACAATAAGACAAAAGACTGAGACTATGAAAAGATCTTTTAAATATAGAGGGGCCTTAACATGGAATAACTTGCCACATGATGTACAAGGTGCTAAATCGTTAAATATTTTTAAGGCAAAGCTGACGTAATACGAAATAAGTGTGTGGGAGGGGCTAACTTATTAGCTTAAGAGAGCTTTGTTGTTGTTTGTTTTTAAGGTTTTATAGTTGCATACATATCTTCATACTTTCAACCTATTCATCATTCTTATTTATGTTATATTACTCCTACGCATTATGTTTTAAATGTCTAATCGTGTGCAATATGATCTTTACAATACGATATCAGTTTTTGTCTCTTTAAAAACAAAAACAATTTAACTGATCCATATTCATAATGCTCTTAAATATTTATTATCATTCCATACTTCATTTTACTTCTACTTAATATGGAATACGCATTCGTCTTAATTTCATAATTATTACACATTCTACATTATGTGTGTTTTCTTTTGTTTATTGTTTTAAAGTTTGATTATTTAATATTTAACATGAATACATAATATGTTCTTAACTTATTTATAATCTTGTAAAACTTCTTTTTGTTTTTATTTTATATATATGCAAACAGATTATGATGATCATAACTTATTTCAATTGTTTATCTTTTGGGTCTACCAATATAGTTCTAATTAAGTAAAGTGTTTTCAGCTTATTTCCTATATATTGTCATGTTATGGTTGTGAATTTGTCAGTGTTATATTACTTTTGTAAAACTCTGCTGCCAGGCTTGTAACACGCACGCGTTCTTGTGAACACATCACCCCAGTACTTCGCGAATTGCATTGGTTGCCGGTGACATACCGCATTATGTACAAAATCTTAGTTTTAACTTATAAATGCATTCATGAATCGGCACCGATTTATCTGCAAGAATTAATCGAGGAATACAAACCCTCACGCAATTTACGGTCTTCTTCACAATTAAACCTCGTATCTACTTCTGTGTCAACTCTCTCTTATGGTAATCGCTCCTTTCGCAAAGCTTCTGCTGAACTTTGGAACAGATTACCTTTAAATGTAAAAAACTGTCAAACCGTTAACCTATTCAAAACTAGTCTCAAGACACATTTATTCAAAATTGCGTTCGATGATTAATTAACTCTGTTCACTTTGATGTGCATTCCATATGTATTGTAATTTGTATGTCTATTTGCATTTTTAGTTTTGTATAAGATGTAATTGTATATCATTCTATTTTGTTTGTTATAGCGCTTAGAGACTTCGGTGGTAAGCGCTTTATAAGTAACGTTTTTATTATTATTATTATTATTGTTTATATGTCATGATTATGTTGTTTTTTTATCGACACGGCCCTGATTGAAACCAGTCTGCGAACTGTTTCGGGCTTTTACCGTGTATAAATAAAATAAACTCAAACTCAAACTCAATTCTTTAAAAAGACGTCGAAATTAATTGTATTGAATAGAAGGTTATACAGGGTGAATTGTGAGGAACCTATTAAAAAGCTTAGCTTGTAGATTATAGGTTCCCATAAATAAAACTAACATTTGATTGAAGTGGTTGTAATGGTGTAGGACGTAACAATAATAATAGGTGGGCAAGAAGGCCTTGACATAAGATGATATACAGCGTGAAACAAGCAAAAATAGCAAATAAAGCAAACAAATTAATTTGTTACCAAAGAAATGACTCGATAGTCACTATCGAGTTTCATCAACATTTGTCCACCGACAACTGTCAGCCCTGGAAAATAGACGCCCCCCCCCCTGATCGACCGTGACCCTTGCCCTTATCAAAAACATATACATACAATATCCACTCTGTTTGTGCTATATCGCATGCTAAACTACTAATTACCATGCCATTTCTGCCGGCTATGACGTCATAGCCGGCAGAAATGGCAATTACAGCGCAGGACGCGCGGAACGAGATTCTCTGCGAACTGACTTAGGGAGCATATAGTTTAGCAGCCCCAGACCAAGTCCATGCTCAGAACATGCCAGTCAGCAGCTGTTGTCCTCAAGCGCTTTATTGGAGAATTGGATATATCACAACACAATGTCAATGGCGACTGGTGAAGATGATTTACATTGGAAGAATTTGTATTCTGCAACCTCTGGGGATCTTGATCTAAAGCGCCTTGAGGAAGCCTACAAGGGATGGTCAGAGACATATGATGAGGTATATATTTTTCATTTATTATTCATCTCCGATAATATAGCATGCAAGAAATCTATGCTAACGGCTTGAAGAGCTAGATGTCATAGCATAACGCATATCTAACTCTTTAATTTTCAATTATTTGATTTGTATTCTTCTTTAATGGTTTCACAAGCCAGTTACATTTTACCTAGCGTAAAGGGTTCGGTAATAAAATGAAACATGATATTAGTATCACCTAGCTATAAAGAGTAAGTCAACCATGATATTAGGTTGGTTAGAATAGAAGCAGAAAAATAATAGAAACAGGTCAGTCCTAGTTTGAGCAAATTCTGATTGAAATAAGAAATATTATGAATTTTTGAAGTTGCGATTAATCAAACACAAATTGGCAACTCTGTGAATATCTTACGAGCTCCCCTCCGATTTGCTCTGTAATTAAAAGTCCATAAACTTTCATATTCTTCGTTAATAATGACAGAATAGATTTTTTTCACTCATGGGTTGTATAGAAATTATGTAGTGACATACTATTTATTCATTGTAAAATGTAATTTTAGCAAATTTCGTTTAAATTTAATTTCATATTATCACCTTATTATACCTACTTTTCTTTGGATTAACACTTCTCGTATGTCGTCATATCTCAAAATCATCATTCACCCATTGTGTAAACATGTACAGAGCTCTCTGAATATGATATACAAGTACTATGTAAGCATTTATATCAGCAATGTTATATGTTTTGATTGTTGTTTGGTTTGTTGTTTGGTTAGTTTGGTTTGTATTTTGCTTTTGTCGGTGAAAAGAATCTTATTAAAACTCCGATAATGTTATTCCCTTCCCGTTGTCCTGCTATTCTCACTAGCGCTGGACCTAATATATAATGATGATGATGATGATGATGATGATGATGAAAATAATGAAAATAACAACACCAGTAACAATAGACATTAAAGCAGAACATATATAGAACACGTACTAACGTTAATACTAATACTACTATTAATAATGATAATGATGATACTACTACTACTACTACTACTACTACTACTAATGATAATACAAATAATGATAAAACCGTCTTTTCGTTTCAGGATCAGGTCAAAATGAAATTTAACGGCCCTCATCAAGCAGCACAAAAACTGTCCAGCTTGATGGCAGATAAAAGCAAGAAGATCCTAGACGTGGCTTGTGGAACTGGAGGGGTCGGCAAAGAGGTAAATAATACAACCCATCTTAAAGCCCCGCTGCACTTCTTATAGCTACTTGCGCCCTCTATACAGCCAACAATGCCTAAGCGGTACCCGTTGATCCCCATTCAATTCAATTATTTTTATTCATCCAAATTCACAAGAATACATGGGAATTTTTTTTGGTCACACATTGTACAAACACGTAATATATATCGAAAATAATATCGTTAGTGACTTTCGTTTGTCTCGCAATGTATGGTCAGCAAGGGATCAAAAGATCATATATATATATATAATAATAAACTATATCGTTGTGTTTATAATCAAAGAAGAACCATCAAAATAAAAGATAGACAAGATAGAAATATTCTTATATTCTAGTATTACACATTGAAAGTGATGAGAAGAATAGAACATCAGTGTGAAGGAAGGAAGGAAAACCACGCCAAGCCGATACTTGGGCCCACATGCCCTGTTCATTATGTTAATTGAGAGTTGATTTGATGAGACAACCATCTGCCAGTGACTTGCAGGAAGGGATAATCCATCCATGCCAAATTAGTGCAGGGAGGCTTTAAAGAGAAGGTTGAGGTCTGTCTAAAAAGATGTAAAGTAATATGTGAACTTTCTCGTTTTTTTTATGTCATTTTGGAAGAATAGGCCAATTATTGAACAAACATCACTGCAATGGATTGCTCTCCCATATTCAAAATTTGACAACAATCATCTGAAATGCTTGGATATTGTGAAAGAAACGTTGTAGAATTGATCAGAAAAGTTTGATCATCTAGCATATTGGTACGTAGTATTGGTGTATACTGCAAGGTTCTGAAATCATCAAAATGATAAGAGATTTCTGCCCAGTCTTGGTAAAGTTACAAGCACTGTACACATAGAGATGAATATGGGACTACGCGACACGTGCGCGATATCTATCCGGTCCAGATAGATATAATAATTTACCAAATATATCAATTAGTAGGCGGATTCCCGGAAAAATGTGTTTCATCACGAATTATTCAAACATATTCTTTCACATGATTGGTAATACGAGCTTTCATTTCTTTTCTTTTTTGAGAGGGGGGCGTTTCAAAAACTGGTCTATACCTTAAACTTAAAGATAAACTTGAGTTCTGGTTTAAAAAAAGAAAGAAATGAATTCTCACACAATCAAACGAAACTTACACTGAATGTTCAAGATTACAAATAAATGTCATTTGCACAAAAAAATTGGTAGAAAATGTATACTGGCTGAGTAATGAGCACAGAAAGATAAGGAAATCAAGATACTGTAAGTAGGCCCGACACCATTTGTGACATCTTTCTGTGTACAGTGCTTGTTACTTTACCAAGACTGGGCCAAATTTATTATGATTTTGATGACTCCCCTTGCAGTACACACCAATATTTACATGCTACATGATCAACTTTTTTTCGGATCCATTCCACACCTTTTCATTCACGATGCAATCGCATGACCAGAACTCAACTTTATTTTTAATCGTATCAAGTTGGTACGAACAGGAAGAAGGTCCGAGTAAGAGGGTGTGAGCAACTAGTAATGGTGTAATTGAAACAGGGGCGTAAATCCCGGGGGGGGGGGAGGGCTGCATCCCCCCTGGTTTGAAGTAGGGGGGATGACCTGTACAATCACCCCCCTGATATTACCAAAAAAAAAAGAGAGGAAAAAGAAGGAAGAAGAAGAAGAAGAAAAAAAATGTGATTTTGTTCAGTTGCAGCATAATGCATGAGAAATGAGTTATTTTGTTTATGTATAGCCTACACGTATACAGTATGTCACGATAAGGAAACGTCAAGGCTTCCGCGCTTCGCGCGAGAGGGGGAAACTGAGTTCAGATGAATAGGGCTTATTAAGAGTCAAAAACGGTGCAACGAATCGTCTTCTTTCTATAATAATTAAATCAAACGTCTAAGCTTTTCGCGCTTCGCGCGGGAAGGGGAAACTGAATTCAAACGAGAATTAAGAGTCGAAAACAGTACACTCAATCGTCTGCTTTCTCTAATAGTTTAAGGAAACGTTAAGGCTACCGCGCTTCGCGCGAGAGGGGGGGGGGGGGAACTGAATTCAGATAAATAGGGCTTATTAAGAGTCGAAAACGGTGCAACGAATCGTCTCCTTTCTATAATAATTAAATCAAACGTCTAAGCTTTTCACGCTTCGCGCGGGAAGGGGAAACTGAATTCAGACGAGAATTAAGAGTCGAAAACAGTACACTCAATCGTCTGCTTTCTCTAATAGTTTAAGGAAACGTTAAGGCTTCCGCGCTTTGCGCGAGAGGGGGAAACTGAATGCAGATAAATAGTGCTTATAAAGAGTCGAAAACGGTGCAAAGAATCGTCTTCTTCCTATAATAATTAAATCAAACGTCTAAGCTTTTCGCGCTTCGCGCGGAAAGGGGAAACTGAATTCAGACGAGAATTAAGAGTCGAAAACAGTACACTCAATCGTCTGCTTTCTCTAATAGCTTAAGGAAACGTTAAGGCTTCCGCGCTTCGCGCGAGAGGGGGGAACTGAATTCAGATAAATAGGGCTTATTAAGAGTCGAGCACGGTTTAGCAAATCGTCTACTTTCTCTTATAATTTAATGAAACGCCAAAACTTCCGCGCGGGAGGGGGGGGGGAGGGGGGGAACTGAATTCAGAAAAGGATTTACAGTCGAGAACGGTACAGCAAATCGTCTCCTTTTTATAATAATTTAATGAAACGCCAAAGTTTTCGCGCTTCGCGCGGGAGGGGGGGGGGGGGGATTCATTCAGACAAGGGTTAACAGTAGAGAACGGTACAATAAATCTTTTACTAATAATTTAAGGAAACGTCTAAGCTTCCGCGCTTCGCGCGGTAGGCCTATCACCCACACACCCCTAATGAGCGAGCGTGTGTGTGTGTGTGTGTTGTGTGTTTGTGCGTGATTAACTTACGCCGACTAGCAAGCATCTGTCTGAACATGGCTAATGTCAGACATGCTGTAGCATCACCAGGGAGAGAAACACTATCACTATGAACATGACGGACAAAGAAAGAGGACAAAATATACAGTTCCTCATTCTACCCTCAACAATTGCTCTGGTAGACAAAGGAACATCCTTTACCGCTATTATGTAAAAATGTGTAGAACAGGTGTCACATGCATATTCACCTGTGAAAAATGAAATTCTTTTGTGAGCATGTGCTGAGCGGCGGAAAGTTACATAGCACTGTCTCTTGTTAGCTCACAGATGATGTCACAAGATGAATGAGATCTGTAGCATTTTTTAAGGGTGGAGCTTAGCAGGTCGGAGCAAATTATTAAAAGCAGTATTTAAATAAATATATGAAACATACTTAGATGTTTAAATAACAAAAATATGAGTTGAATGCAGCCCTGCACATTAACCGGAATCAACTTATATTTAGATTTCACCCAACCTTTTAAAGGTAAAGACCAGTATTGGAAACGCCCCAATTTCAAAAAATGAAATGGAAGCTCTCATTACCAATCATGTGAAAGAATATGTTTTGACTAATACATGATGATAAAAAATTTGCCGGGAAACCGCCTACTAATTCATATATTTGGTAATTTTTTTCTCTCATGGTCTGTGAGAGATATAGGGTAGTCCCATATACATCTTTCTGTGTATAGTGCTTGTAACTTTACGAAGAATGGGCCAAATTTCTTATCATTTTGATGATTCCAGAACCTTGCAGATGCTAGATGCTAGATGATCAACCTTTTCTGATCGATTCCACAACGTTTCTTTCACAATGCAATCGCATGACCATAACTGGTCTTTACCTTTAATGGTGTTACTAACTGTTTTTTCCATTACGATTCCCCTATTATATTAGCTTCATTCACAAGGCTATGTGAATATAGATGGTGTTGATCTGGTTCAGGACATGCTCACTCATGCGGAACAAACAGGAGTATATTCCCGACTCGAGGCTTGTGACGTCATAGGTCAAGGGATTTCTTGTCCGGATGGTGAGGCTAATCTGGAGGAAGCAATGACGTAGAGTAGATCATGATCAATTTATTCGTTGAAAAGGAACAGATGACTTAAGCCCCTTTCACACTGGATCTGCGTAGTGTGGAGTACCGAGTACGCCGAAATTAGGCTGCGTATTCATGAACAAAATGTTGCTTCGGCGTAGTACCTGCCGGTTATGCATAGGCTGGCGTACCATTGCGTATATGGTTACGTACCCTGTGCATATAGACCGCGTACCTAACGCGTATGCAATTGGCGTTGGCGTACCTACGCCTATCATTGAGTATAACAGACGTAGGGTTGCGTATGTTTACGTAGGCCTGGCGTAAAGGGTACGGAGGTTAGCTTAGGGTAGCGCACGGTTGCTAACTGTATGCGCAAATAGGATCTAGGACACCTTAATTAATTTATACGCTTTGACTGCTTTGTCACACTGGCGTAGGGAAGCTTACTATTGCGTAGGCATGGCGTACAGTAGCGTAGTGTTGCCTAGACTTGCCTACGAAATGCATACGTTTTGGGTCTAGTGTCTACGCCGAAAGTACGCGATCCATATCGCTACCCCTCTGCGTCCATCAGCGTATAGTTACGTAGGCCAGCGTAAGACAACGTACGCTCGGCGTAGTCGGTACGCAACACTACGCAACTAAACGTATGGCCCGGTACGAAAGGGGCTTTAGGATTGATTTAATTCGTAATGCGTCACCTGTTAGGAATGTCGGGGAATAACGTTTTCTATTGGCTGGTCAGTTCATCATCCAGATCCAACTTTGTCCGTCGACCGTTTATCCATTTTGTGGGCTTTAAGATGTGGTGATTAATTGGCAAAAAATCACTTGTTACTTTATAAAACAAATATTTCTCATACTGTTCTGGAAATTATATTTATCCTCAATTTCATCCATCCTCGGCGTCTTCAAAACAGTCCAAGCTTCCTTATTTATTGGCGAACTCGGTTCTGTATCGATTTCCAATAATTTAAAAGGTAAAACTTAAAGGGACTTGGTAACATTGTTCATATGAGAGAAAATGGTGCGAAGGTGATGACTTCACTGCTAGGCCTACAATTAAAGATAATCTGAAACTTTGAGTGAAAACAGACCATTATTAAAAATTGGTTCAAAACTGATCTGATCGATTCCTTAATTTTCCAAACTATATTATTACAATTTGGTGAATGTAAAGTGTTGAAAGATTTTTAAAAGTCTGTCTTAAATCCTTTTTCATAGAAAAACGGTAGGAAATATTCAAAAATGGTTTGGAGAATTTACTATTAGAGGGTGTCGCATAGTGACGCCTTCATAGAAAACCATAAATATCTTTGTGGTTTGAGAATTTGTTCAGGATGTTTTGTATGTTAGAGGTTTAGTACAGTAAACATTTCATGCACAAATTAAGCATTTCTTTTGTCTACCTACACCAATGTTACCGACTCACTTTAAACTCAAGTGGAAGTTTGTTTAGGGTGTTAAATTTTTTGAGAACAAGTTGAATGACACTAACATTTTTGAAATATTGATTTGAATATTTGATTAGATTATTTTACAATTTTTACCAATGAAGGCCATGAAATATGTTTAGGCCTTTATTAACAATCCATTCAGAACACGACAATACACTATGCATCGCATCTGAAATCCCAATTCCCTCTAATAACCAATCATGTTCTTGCTCATAATGTCCTCCTTCGTGGTTGTATTACAGGTACCTATGACGCTATCGTGTGTGTAGGGGCATTCAACCAGGGGAATATAACACAAGCAGTGTTTCCAGAACTGCTCCGGGTAGCAAAGAAAGGTAAACACGATTTCGGTCGGAGTAAAGGTCGTGTTAAGAGCTCGTCTACTTCAACCCAGCTTCCGCATCCAAAACCACGCGAAATCTAATTTTCATTTTCGATTGTAAATTAACAACCCTTGTGAAAGGTCACAGATACTCCGAGTGCCAAGTGAGAACATCCACACGGTTAACTTACGCTATCCTCTAGTCGCGTTAGCGCGTCACTCATGGGAAATCCAGGAGTAAATCAGTCGGCGTAAAGGTAGGCGTAGCTAACACGACTATCATTCAGACGATCACTACGCCGACCTTTACGCCGTCCTTTACGCCGACCTCACCATTATGTACGCCGACTAGCTCTAAACACGACGTTTACGCCGACCAAAAGATACATCGTGTTAACACAGCTATGTTTGATTAACCAAAACGGCATATTAATTTGTATGGATGGAAGTCATTTTGAATACATTAGTCTTTGCGTTGTCGGGCATGCCTCTGGCAAGCTTTTCAGTAGTAAAAAACTGCACAGTATAGGTAAAGTGCAACTGTAATGTTTTCCCTACCTATATCAACAACTAATGCATGCAATTCGCATTCTGACTATCGAAATAATACATGGTAGGTGAATGTAATAACTCGTTGCCAATTACTTGTTCAAGTAAGAATGCATTTTGAATCGAAATTGGCATTAATTTGGTATAAGGAGTAATTGAGTATTTGAAAGCTGAAATGTCTAGTTTAACCCGAATCTTTACGTTCAGGTATAATGTTGTAATATTTTATGCTTTTTTAATTGCACAGACAGGACCCCCTGGAAGATCAATATTCGTTGTTAAAAGGGCTATCCATTTTAAAGAAGACTTGAATAATTCCCCCCTTCTTTCTTTATATAATTCTTCATCTCTATCTCCATTCCTTTATTATTATTTTTTTCCTCATCCCTCTTCCATTTTATTGATATTTTGTTTCCTTTTCCCCATCAGGTTGTATCATTTTGATTGTTATGCGAGAGGCATTCGTCTACACCTGTCCCGACTTCAAGAATGGTCAACTCGACACGGACATTCTCATGCGTGCTCAGAACGGAATCTGGAAATATACCCTACGTGAAACAGTCCCTAAATTCATTGGGGATTTATCTGGTCTTCTTTATGCGATGGAAGTCCAGTAATATCTTCGTGTTCCACAGTTTATAGATGAGGCTACCCTGTATAAACAAGACATATTATTATTATTATTATTATTATTATTATTATTACTCATGTTGCATAAAGAGATGTCGATTGCAAATAGTATTCTATCAACAGGTTTCAATAAATGTGTATAGAATAATTTTGTCATGCGAATACTAGACTAGGTATCGTACCGATTTATCCCTATGCTAAAACCATGGATCTAGGTGGACTTAGGAATTCTAACCACCTACACATTCCTTATGCAAGAACTGAATGATACAGAAAATCAAGTGTCCCCACACTTGTCAAACTGGTTAATGCTCAGTTGTAGATCATGTATAGTAATGTATCCTATTTGTTTTTCTTCTTTAAAAAAAAAATATTAGAGTTATTGTTTTGTTACTTTGTTTAATTGAACTCAAGATCGATCCAAAATTCAAAATTCGTGCACATATTTTTGAGTGCTCTTTGTTGGGGACACTGTGACGATAAATAATCAAGCAGGAAACAAAGTTCTAAACCCAGTATGCGACCACGCTGACAAGATACTTCAGCACGTATCAGCACGGTTCAATCTGTAATTGAACAAAACAAATAAAGGAAACATCCAATCAATACTGGAATACATGTACACATGCTTATCAATGACATTATTTGTTACAATAATTATCCATCTTGTCTGGTCTCAATCAATAAATGCATAACTGAATATGAATTAACTTGTTTGTGTCAATTATTTATGTGTCATATCCAAAAACCTCTCCTGAAACAATATCTGATCTTAAATACAATTATTTGATACAAAAGGCTTGCTTGCTTCTATCCTAGCACTGACTTTCAAATATGTAAACAATAACCGGTCAAAGCAATGCTCTCAAAACCCTAATTTCACAACACAAGGCCCAAGTTTAGCTTAGCAAAATACTTATAAACAATGTATTCAAAGCCTAACTTTTATCTCCCTAAATGAGACATTTATTTATTATTCATCACTAATAACCAGCTTGAACATTTATATCAACCTTGTAAGAAATAATATGCTTCAGCTATCATACAGCCTTATTTATCATGGCTCACTTCATAATCTGTCAACTAACAAAAGAGGCGTGACTACTTCCGGTCACTAAACGTGTACAGTGCATGCATGCATGCATTACTTGCACGTATTATGTATACCACTGCTACATTACGTTCTTCAATACAAATCTTTCGCAACAAATTTACATTACTAACCATCAACATAATTAATAGAAATTATCACTGATTATCATTCAACAACTCTTTAAAGGAATAGCAATGTAATTGTCTACTTACAACGTTGGGCTCATCAAAAAGAATTAATTTATCATCACAACCTCACGGTCGTCCGACCGTTCCAAACAAGGAAAATCAGTGGCATGCGAAGAAACGCCCTCAATAGTCAAATACATGTCAATTCCCCAAAAAGCCTCGTCTATGACGTCAGCATTTCCCGACTTATCGTTACATGATTTTATCAAACACAGGAGAAAACTTCCTGTCAGTAACATACCGGCCCCTTAAATGTGAGCTAAAAGCAATCATTTATAACATCATATATCAAAAAGAAAATATTTTGACAATTTAAATGCTCTGTTACACATGACTGTCTTTACTTGTACCTGAAACACATTATCAATATGTTAATTTGTTTGCAGTAAATGTGTATATACTGGAAGACAACACAGATCTAAAGAAAATTCCATATTCTCAAATATTTTACTCCTAAGAATCCCATAGTTTAGCAATTTCTTGCAATGTCAGAAAACATCAATATTGATAAATTCTCATCTCCTTTTAAATAATCTCCCTCTTTAAAAAGTAAATCTCTGCACAAAATGCAATTGCATGATAAAATAGTGATTTCTATCTTGAAAACAACCTGTTGAATAATGTTTATACATGTATATAAAACAAACATCACAACAATATACATGCACATTAATACATGAATTTGATATTGATGTGTTGTCTGTACGAAAAAGAGTCCGATAAGGCTCCTGTTGCTAAGCAACCAGTCCACTAGTCTGCTATACAGGTGAATACTTGAAATGTCCTCTTTCAGAGTAATAAATGAGTCCACTCTATGCAGAATTATTAGTCCTTTCAAATAACAGTCCATGGTGTAAACTGTACTTTGATTTCTCTGTTCATTTGTCAAAATGTCTATTCATCTTGAAATGTCTCTCTATCGAATTTCAGTTCTGTCAAATAGAGTGCTCTAAGAAACAAACACAGGGGTAAAACTTGTACCTATCTGGGGATAGAATATACCTATCTATGATTCACTGATTCCAAAAGACACAGCTTGTGAATTGGCCTAACAAGGGTCGATGATTTGGTTTGCACCCTAACTGACCTAACTAGCCCATCCTTGCCTGGGAAAATCTCTACAACGCGACCGACAGCCCAGTGGTTTCGTGGTGCTTCTTCCATGATGTGAACGATGTCACCCACGCTAACATCACGCTCACGCTCGTTCCACCTTTGTCGCGCTTGGAGTGTAGGAAGATTCTCTTTCCTCCATTTCTCCCAGAAAATGTCACTAAGGTACTGAACCTGTCTCCATCGTCGCCTGCTATACACATCTCGTGCCTCGAAGAGGTCAGGCGGCCCAGTACCATTACCCCGCAGCAGGAGCAAATGATTCGGAGTGAGGGGTTCTGGATCCACCGCATCATCCGACACTACTGTCAGAGGGCGCCCGTTGATGATGGACTCCACCTTACACATCAGCGTTGATAAGTTCTCGTCAGACAGCACTTGCTGTCTCATCAAGGTACCGAGCACCTTCTTCGTCGTTCTTATCTGGCGTTCCCAACATCCACCCATGTGCGAGGCCGCTGGTGGGTTAAACCTCCATTCAATGCCTTTCTGGAGTAGATGGTCATGAATTCTCTGCTGGTTCCATCTACTTAACCCCTCTCGCAGCTCTCTCTCTGCTCCGACGAAATTCGTGCCGTTGTCAGATCTGATGAGCTCTGGTCTTCCACGGCGAGCCATGAATCGATGAAGAGCGTTCAGAAATGAATCAGTGTCCATAGAATGCAAGATCTCTATGTGCACGGCTCTCACACATAGGCAAGTGAAGATACAGCCATATCTCTTCACTTGGCTTCTGCCCTGTTTGACAAGATAAGGGCCAAAACAGTCCACTCCAACATTAGTAAATGGTGGCTTGTCAAACGCCACACGATCACTAGGTAAATCAGCCATCTTCTGCCCGAGAGTTGGAGACGACAGGCGTTTACACTTAAAACAGTCCCGTTTTACCTGTCGCACAGTAGACCTCCCTCTGATCAACCAGAATTGCTGCCTCAGCATCGATAGGACATGCTCTCTGCCTAAATGTCCCACCATGTCATGAACATGTCTCACTAACAGTGTTACCACGTGATGCTTGGGTGGTAAGATGATGGGATGCTTCATCTCGTCACTCAGCTCTGCATTCCTAAGGCGGCCTCCAACACACAGCAACCCAGTTCTGCTCATCATAGGGTCTAACTTATAGAGAGGGCTGGACTTCTTCAACTTACTAGCCCTCTGCTTTCCATTCAAGGCTGGCTTCTCCTCAATTGCCTGGTATTCAGCTGGGTATGCCAGGCGCTGAACATATTTCAGGATTGCCTGCTCAGACTCTCTCATGTCATCCACTGTAAGAAGCACCTTACAGTCAAATACCTCCTTCCGCACCTTGCACAGAAGATATTCCCGAAACTGCAAGATTCTAGCTACTGCCTTCTTAAGCTTGTACCAATCTGAGAAGTAGCTCAACAGTTCATCAGTAGCCGCAATTGGTACATCAACATCAGTCTCAGCGGCATAAGCCTTCACAGTCTTTACTTCTGGATCATCGTCTAGTAGGATATCATCAGCTTCTGGATCTTGGCTCTGCTGCTCTTCAGTCAACAGGATGAATTTTGGCCTATGAAGCCATCTCTCACTAGCCACGAGATCCCTAGCACTCATGCCTCTACTGACGTCATCAGCCGGATTCTCTTTCGTGTTGACATGATGCCACTGCTTCACATCACTGGCAGAGTGAATCATAGACAGTCTATTGGCAATAAAGGTGTGAAACCTTTTGTCTTCATTCTTAATGTATGCCAATACAATCATGCTGTCAGTCCAGAACACAGAGTCCTTTAGTGGTAGATCCAGTTCTCTCCTCACTAAGACATCTGACTTCACCGCAACAGTAGCAGCCATCAATTCGAGACGAGGAATCGTAGTCTTCTTCACTGGAGCGAGGCGAGACTTGGCAAAGACAAGACTGCTACAGACTTACCCTTTAGAGTTCCGTACCACCAGGTATGTCACCGCTCCATAGGCATCTTCGGATGCATCAGCAAAGTGATGTAACTGATGCTCTGTCTTGGCACTATATCCTGCAGGAACCACACATCTTGGTACCTTGAAGTTTTCTACTTCAGGAAGTTGTTTTACCCACTGCTGCCATAACTGCAGTCCAACATCTGAAATTGGGTCATCCCATCCTAACTTCTTTGTTGCTAACTTCTGCATCAACAGCTTAGCTCTCAAGATAAAGGGACTCAGGTAGCCAAGCGGGTCATAAATGCTTGACACAATGCTAAGCAAACCCCTTCTTGTCAGTGGTTTCTCCTTTATCAATGTCTTGTACTCTAGACGGTCCTCTTGCACATCCCATTTGATCCCCAGGGCTCTTTCAACTGGTAGTGCTTCCTTGCTAAGATCTAAGTCCTTAACTTGTTTACTTCTATCCTCCACTGGGATGGCTTTCACAACTTTGCGGTTGTTACTTGTCCACTTGATCAGGTTAAAGCCTCCCTTCTCTAGCAGGCTTTTCAATTCTTGTGCTAGTCGTATGGCATCTTCCTCATCCTTAGTGGAGATTAAGCAGTCGTCCACATAGAAATTCCTAGTCACTGCCTTTACTGCTTCAGGAGAGAATTCACCCTTGTTGTCTTCAGCTGTGCGTCGTAAGGCATAGCTACAGCAGCTGGGACTCCAAGTCCCACCGAATAAGTGCACACACATTCTGTAGACACATGGATCTTCCTTCAAGTCACCTGTTGGCCACCATAAGAATCTCAGTACATCTCGGTCTGGTGCTGGCACACGAACTTGATGAAACATCGCTTCAATGTCTGCCATCAAAGCCACTGGCGCAGTTCTAAACATCAACAGCACTCCGATCAGCTTGTTAGTCAGATCTGGTCCCTGATTAACCACATCATTCAGTGACAAACCTTTCCATGCTGATGCACAATCGAAGACTATTCTCACTTTTCCCGGTTTCTGGGGATGGAATACCGGGTGATGTGGCAAATACCATTCGCATTCCTTCTTACTGTCAAGTTCATTGACCTCCTCTGCATATCCCTTCTTCAAAAGGTCTGCCATGCCATCTGTATACTTCTGAAGGAGACCATCACTCTGACTAAGCCTTCTTCCAAGACTTTGGAGTCTCCTTTCAGCCAACCATCGGTTATTCTGGAGATCTGGAGGTCTCTTCTTGAACGGGATAGGGAGCTGATAATGACCTTCCTCTATGCAGATGCCCTGCTCCCATTCTGCCAAGGCCTTGACATCATTCCTTGACATAGCTCTCTCTTCCTTGAAAGGATCAGGGGTCTCAAGCTTCCAGAACCTCTCTAACTGTCTCTCGAGGCACAGATCTCCTTCGATGAAGGTGTTCGTAGCATACACTGGAGTGTTCATTTCACATGCTCGGCTGAGTGGACCATGGAGTGACCACCCAAGGCACGTCCTTACTGCGTATGGTCCTTTCTCTCCATGTCTAACCTCTAGAGGCATCAGAGCTTCTGGGACGTCTTGACCGATGACCAGTCCCACCTCATCTTCAGTGGCCACAGGGATGCCAATCCCTCTTAGGTGGGTCAGTCCTTCGATGTCATCGACTGTGGCCATGTGTACACCCTTGACGTTGATATTTTCCTTTGTGTACACACATAACATCTTGATCTGCTTGCTGTAATCTCCGGAGTCCACAACCAAACTGACGGCTTCAGTGTGGACAGTACTTTCTTTACGATCAAGGGTCGTTAGTAGAAGCTTCCCTTTGACTCCCTTAGCACCGAGTGACCTTGCTAAACTTGCTGAACAAAATGTACCTGTTTACCCTTGGTCCAGCAATGCATATGTCCACAGCATAACTTGGCAGCCTTCTGCCTTCACCCTCACAGGCACTATAGGGAGCACACTTTTCCTGCCGGCCCCTGTGGAACTACAGGAGGCTTCTTGCTCCACATTTCTATTTTGTGTGCCGCCATCAGGTTCTGTCATATGGAGAAGCTTATTGTGCTTCCTTGTGCAACCACCTACTGAGCAAGTCCTCTTGCTACTACATGCTCCTACCATATGACCTCGTCTCAGACAGTTAAAACACAGTCCCTTATTCCTTGCTAGCCGCATTCTATCCTTAGGAGGCAAGTCCTTAAACTGCTTACAATCCCACAGCCTATGGTTACCCTTGCACTGGAAACACTCTACATGTAGTTCAACAGGCTTTGCAGTGGAAGATGTAGAGAAGGAGCCCTTTGACTTCCCACTTCGAGAAGGCGTGCGTTGCTCACTCTGACCAGACATCAGCTCTCCATACACCGGGTCATTAACTTCCTGCGCAGCCTCCTGCACAAAGTACATCAGATCTTCAAATCTTGGGATTCTCTCCTGGCGCCGAATCGCTCCAACTCTGCTCAGCCACTTTCCTTTTAAATGGAAAGGCAGTCTCTCCGCCAGTGGGAGAAGCACCTTCTGAGGGGAGAGTTCCTGTTCGAATCCTATTGCTTGAAATGACATAAGGCAGACACTCATGTCATCTGCCAGCTCTCTTAGACCTTTCTTGTCACGAGGGCCAATCTGCTTCCCAGATGTTATCTTCTTCATCCAGGAGTCTGTGATGACAACTGGGTCTCCAAATCTTTCAATCAGAAGTCGCTTTGCTGTTGAATATCCTTGTGATGCGTTCATTAATAAGCAAGGACTCAAACGTCTCTTAGGTTCCCCTCGACAATAGTATAAGAGGCGAGTTAGCTTCGTCCTATCTCCGCACGAACTAGAGTCAATGTTGTCCTCGAAACTCCGCCAGAACTCCCAAAATTCTAGGGGATTTCCGTCATAAGGCGTCAACTCGGCCTTAGGCAGCTGCATCACCTCCCAAAGACGGCGTTGCTCCTGTTTTCCTTCCTTCAGTAGGGTGACTACATCGGAATCATCACTCATGGTCAGCGGTTGTCCATGGTCAGACCTATCTGCTGTGATAGGCTTACACTTCGTAGACTTAGTAGGAACAACAGTCTCTGTCACCACCTTGCCAGGAGTGTATGGTAAGGTTTCATCCTGTTCTTTCTCAGGAAAGCTTATTCCTAACTTCTTATTCTCAAACTCAAGGTATATCTGTTCTTCTGCTTCTGCAACCCTGAGCTTCGTCTGCATCGATAATCTCAACTTACGCTGCGTTAGTTGAAATTCCTCAAGTTCTAGCTGTTGGCGTTCTTCTATAGCAGCTGCTTCAGCTGCTAGGGCTGCCTTTCTGGCCATAGCTTTCAACATGGCTGACGAAGCAGAGCTAGTATGGCTGACACACTGACTCACCGAGTCTTCAGGATTCACCTCCAACTGTTTCTTTTCCTGTTTTTCATCTTCCTGTTTGACCTCAGACTGCCCACCATCAGCTTGAAGTTGACCTGCTGCATTCATCCTGATGAAGCGTTATTGAACTTGATGTTGGGGACACTGTGATGATAAATAATCAAGCAGGACACAAAGTTCTAAACCCAGTATGAGACCACGCTGACAAGATACTTCAGCACGTATCAGCACGGTTCAATCTGTAATTGAACAACACAAATAAAGGAAACATCCAATCAATACTGGAATACATGTACACATGCTTATCAATGACATTATTTGTTACAATAATTATCCATCTTGTCTGGTCTCAATCAATAAATGCATAACTGAATATGAATTAACTTGTTTGTGTCAATTATTTATGTGTCATATCCAAAAACCTCTCCTGAAACAATATCTGATCTTAAATACAATTATTTGATACAAAAGGCTTGCTTGCTTCTATCCTAGCACTGACTTTCAAATATGTAAACAATAACCGGCCAAAGCAATGCTCTCAAAACCCTAATTTCACAACACAAGGCCCAAGTTTAGCTTAGCAAAATACTTATAAACAATGTATTCAAAGCCTAACTTTTATCTCCCTAAATGAGACATTTATTTATTATTCATCACTAATAACCAGCTTGAACATTTATATCAACCTTGTAAGAAATAATATGCTTCAGCTATCATACAGCCTTATTTATCATGGCTCACTTCATAATCTGTCAACAAAAGAGGCGTGACTACTTCCGGTCACTAAACGTGTACAGTGCATGCATGCATTACTTGCACGTATTATGTATACCACTGCTACATTACGTACTTCAATACAAATCTTTCGCAACAAATTTACATCACTAACCATCAACATAATTAATAGAAATTATCACTGATTATCATTCAACAATAAAGGAATAGCAATGTAATTGTCTACTTACAACGTTGGGCTCATCAAAAAGAATTAATTTATCATCACAACCTCACGGTCGTCCGACCGTTCCAAACAAGGAAAATCAGTGGCATGCGAAGAAACGCCCTCAATAGTCAAATACATGTCAATTCCCCCAAAAGCCTCGTCTATGACGTCAGCATTTCCCGACTTATCGTTACATGATTTTATCAAACACAGGAGAAAACTTCCTGTCAGTAACACTCTTCATTTTTCTTATAAAGTTGTTCTTAACACCGTGTATAATTCTGCTGCAATAACATAATTGTAACTCAACTTCATTTTTGTGACTGACTGAATGCTGATGTTTATTTATCTATTCATATTTATATTGTTGTATTGGGCCTTCCTCACCATTATAATCATTTTGAAATATTACATGTATCACCTTTAATAGAAGCTACTTTCGATTTTTCGAATGTATAACGTATGCCTACTTGTAAGTTTTGATTATAATTATATGTAATTATTTCTATATATGTCTTTATTTCTATTGTCTTCTACATTTGTAAAGCGCATTGGTATTACTTTGGTCCAATATTTCAAGTAACTGTTATAGGTTGTTCATCCATCTATTATCATTTATTTATATATGAATATAACTTAAGGTATGAACAATAATGATACTTTATCTTTTTTCATTTGTATTGTACATTTATATTATCATTCCTGTTTTTATGCACATTCTATGTAAACATTGCATTATTGGTCCCTGGACTACTGCATTGTACATTGTTTATGTTGATATTAATAAACCGAAATCGAATTGAATTGAATAGTATGTCCACGTTAAAACATTTGAGGGGAAAAAAACAGATATGAAAAATAGGGGGAGTCTTGATATCTTTGTAGATAATTAATTTGGTGAGGCTGTGAATGGAAAAGAATGTTGATGTAGTCGATGGTATTCACGCTGATCTATTTATATAATAAGTATGAAATATTTGATACAATTTTGTTGTTGTTTATTTATGAATGGATATCATACCAAGGAAGCTAAACTGTTTAAAGAGAGTGAGAGAGAGAGAGAGAGAGAGAGAGAGAGAGGGAGGGGGTGGGGTGGGGGGGGGGGGAGGGTTGAAGTAGGTGAGCAAACTATGGTGCGAGTTGTGAAAACTCTAGGTGCAAAGCCGCGCCCGTGTGCGTTTGTTGATGCGTGCGTGTGTGTGTGTGTGCTCGTGTACGCAGAGGCGTATCTAGACCCTTTTCAGTAGGGGGGGGGGGGGGCGTGTAGTGGCTAGCGCTGACCGACAAATCTCCGAATGTCTACAAATTTAACCCTATTATAAAACAGGGGCCGAGGGCTAACATATATTTTCTATAAACTTTCTATCTGTCGGGCGAGAACAAGGCGAGCCGAGTCAACGGCCCGTTGATTGGTTGATCAACCGTGTGCTTCGACCAATGGGCCTTGTCCGTTATTTTTTTAATCATTGATCGAATTATTTGACCGCCGGTCCAGCCGTAGAGTATAAAAACGCGTTGTGGCGTGCGCCCGTAATCCAGCTAACAGTGGAAGTTACAAACTGATTCAGCCGAGGACGCAGGTTCGAAACGTCTTTCGAATTTTCGAATAAATAAGATGATTTTTACAAAGCTGGGTGGCAGAAATTATGGGAAACTGCCGAAAAAGGCAGATATCTCTACAACATACAACGAGATGTAAAATATACGTGTATGATAAAAGGTTTTTGTCGTAAGGATGAAAGAATTTACACCAATTCCGTCTTAATTATTACAATTACTCATTAAATAGGCATGATATTGGCCTTTCTGACAATTGTCATATTTTCGAAACTATCGAACATTTTATGCTATCATACCCTAAATATGAAAGACAGAGGAATCGTATGTATCGCAGACTTCACGCGACGAATCCTAACCTAAAAAAACTATTCGGAAAATAAAAAACTGCACAATCATTTTAGCCTTGATAAAAGGTACTGGAAGATATAAATAATTATAAGGGGGAACAAGTGTATTAATGCATGTTTGTGTCGTTAGCATTCTTGTGCTTTTCATGCCTTAAGGCATCCAAGTAACCGTAACATAAGTAACATAAGAGTAACGGAGGAGATGATGGACAAACGAAGCCTGAATAAAATTAAATATGGCAGCCGATTATTACATGCGTATACTATTATTAAATTTGAGGCACATTAGTTAGCATTAACTCTATAAATTGACATTAAAACTTCATGTTATCATCATCATCATTATGAAGTATGAAGGCATGTATGTCATATGGTGAAATCATATAACTATCCCGAAACTATACCGTTCGGGATAGTTATACGATGAATTTGCTGTGTGTGGACACGGGGTAGGTCACTGTTAACTGTTAAACGTTTACAGTTCACAGATAGGATAAATGTGACATACTCATGATTCTGCAAAGTTCTACAGAATTTGATGTTGGCCGGCTGCAAAAGGGATACACTACCTTTAAAATAGAACCTGACGTATACATGTTGTGCGTTAACACTTGTCTGCATTAATTAATCTGCTCCTGGCCCTGATAAGCGCAGGTAATATTTAAAGGAGAAGTCCACCCTGATATTAAGTTGGATTTAATAGGACCACAAAATGAGAGGAAGAGGTCAGTGAAAGTTTTAGCAAAATCCGATTAAAATAAGAAAGTTATGAAATGTTGAAATTGCGATCGATCAAACACAAATGAGCAACTCTGTGAGGTCTCGGTTTTACTATTAGCGTTGAGGGTGCTTTATTTCCTCAGCTGGTTGGGTGGGCGTGCGCCATGGGAATTCACAGTCCAGGCGGTGGACTATGGTCGGCCATGCGACAATAGTACAACCCGTTTATAAGCAGATTTCAAAACACGAATGTTATCCCGTCACAAAAATATAAAAGGAGCATCAGAGCAAGGAGTTTTAAAGGTATTACAAAGTTTTGGTATGGGGTCATGAATTCGGTTCAAATTAAAATATTGGAAGCATATGCGTTCCTACAATATTCATTGATCGTTGTCGCGGTTGAAATCGAGTCTGAAGTTATGAAATTATAAATAACTAGATGGAATTCGACTGCGCGCAGTCGAAAATGATGCCTCCGTCATAGAGCAATTTTACAAACCAAAACAGAACACATTTTTCGAATTCAAGTTCAATTGTAATCCATTAACAGGTTCTCAGAATATCGTGATTACAAGCAATTTCTCATATACATATATGACCCTTTGATCTTTGACCTCATGACCCTAAAATCTACTCAGTTCATTGGCTCTGCAAGATGTCCTGAGTTAAATAGTAATCCATCTGTCAGTTCTAATGAGAATGTGTTCACAAGCTATTTCTGCATACATAATGAGCCCATGACCTTTGACCTTATGAACCAAGAATCTACTCAGTTCATTGGCTCTGCAAGTAACATACATGACCTAATTTTGGCAGGAATCCATCAATCGGTTCTTGAGAACGCGATCACGAGCTGTTTTTGCATACATAATGTGCGTTGTGGCCTTTGACCTTTGACCAAGTGACCCCAAAATCTAATCAGTTCATCTGCTCTGCAAGTAACATACATGACCTAAGTTTAGCAGCAATCGATCAATCGGTTCTTGAGATAACGCAATCACGAGCTGTTTTTGCATACATAATGTATGCTGTGGCCTTTGACCTTTGACCTCGTGACCCAAAAATCTAATCAGTTCATCGGCTCTGCAAGATACATACATGACCGAAGTTTGGCAGGAATCCATCAATCAGTTCTTCAGATAACGCGATCACGAGAACGGGACGTACGTACGGACGGACGGACGGACAACCCGAAAACATAATGCCTCCGGCTACTTCGTAACGGAGGCATAATAAACTCTTTATGTTGTATAGCTCCCTCTCAAGGTCAAGATATAACTTTAGCTATGAAACAATGTTTCTTGACTAAAATCGACCGATTAGCTATTCCCGTTTGGAAATTATATATCACAACTACAGATTCTGAGATTTTCATGGTCGCAGCTACCATTGTAAGACCATAGACGCTATTTGAAATTTATCAAAATTTACCGGGAGCACCGGTAAAATTTTATATTCAATTTTTCTCGAAAACTGAATTGTTTTAGGGGCTAATTTTGTTAGTGCTTATAATACATCCCCAGGGACATCCAAATATATCAAAATTGTAAAGATTCACTATCCACCCAATTTTCAAAATTTCCCCAAACTTTGTATTACCTTTAAGAGATGGAGGCCTATCTGGCAACAAATTATTCCAAGCAGCTGCCGTTTTCTATGGTTGCACAATAAACTCTACTGTTGTACTGTTACCTTTGATGTCCGAGGTTCGTAGCCGCCAATATCATTGGAAAGCTTGATTAGTGATTTTTGTCACAAAGAAATCTACTTATTATTCCACTTTTTATGTGAACTAACAAGGGGAAAAACGAACAGATGATAAAATATGAATACGAAAGCCTAATTGTGTCCAGGAAATTTGCTTACATGGTTTAATTTGTGAAAAACAGTAAATATTTACAGTCCTAAAAGCTGCAATTTGACACTTTTCCGATTACTTGCGGCTCACATAAATAAAAAGTGAATTCGTTTATGTAGAGTTCTTTATGATGTTATATGTCAGATTAGTGCCCACACATGCCCAGTCGAGTAATTTTGATTTATATTTCAGGAAATTTTGCTCCATTTCCTTTCGCTTGCCTCCTGTAAAGACACACATAGTATCAACTTGTAGTGAGATTTTAACTTGCACTATTCATCTGGGCACTCGACAAGCACAAGTACGATAATACGCCGGTCTGGAAGAAGAAGAAGAAGAAGCAAAGTGTACTTCTCGTATTATCAGACGAGTGGTAGCGAAAAGTAATTATCGTTACAAAAGCATATTTGTCCCGTTAGTTTGCAGCTAGGCAGGAATCTTTGTCTACTTATATTTTAAAGGTACTATGTCCCATTTGCAGGCCAAAAAATGAAAAAGTTAAATTCAAACGGCATTTGAAAGACAATACTAATTTAGAACTTCCCTAAAAAAAGGGGGGCTTGAAAATGTCTTTAAGTGGAAAAATAACGAATATTAGTTGTCGAATCGACTTAGGAGCTACAGAGGCAGTAAGCAATAGTATGATTTTTCAGACCATTGTACTGAATGGTCGTACGTTTTATGCTGCTCAAAGATTCAATCAGTTTAATTTTGGCCATTTCAAGAAGTGGGTTATTGATGTAGACAAATGCTCATGTACCCTTTACAGCT